CCTTCTCTCCCTCCCTCTTCTCTCCTCTCCTCTCTTCTTCCCCTCCCCCCATTCTTTTGGTTTATGCCTACCCAACCTTCATACCTTTGCTCATATGTAATTTCCTCAGGGAGACTTTCCTGATGGAATAAAATCAGGCTCACCTCTTATTCTTTCCCATATAAGAGCTCTTCTATGATTTTCTTATTGTAGCTCATGTTACATTTCAACGTTATAGAATTATGTGTGTAGTTTTTTTCTAAAGTGTTGTCTCCTCTTACACACTCTTGTTCCCCTTCTGTTGCCAGAAGCTAGCTGTGCCCTGCACACACAGGTCTCAATAGTAACCCTGGGAAAGGTCTATACAAGTCTCAGAGGCTCTGAAGACTTATGCTGAAAGGTACCTGCCTTCATCCAGGTGTTTTAAAGTCTGAAACTTTACCATTACAGAGTCGTTCCTTTGGATTACTCTTCCTGGCCTTTGTTATTAAAATGCCACGCAGCTTTAATAAACGGTGCAGTGGGAAAAACATGATTTCTGGAATTATATAGCTTTGAACTCAGTTTTATTTCTGCTATTCAAAATAGCTGTGAGACTACAATAAAGTAATTATTGGGATTCACATTTTCTCTCCTCACAGGGGAGTCATAGTTCTTGGGTTTTCGATCCCAGAGTCTTACAAAATCCACTCAGAAAACACAGATCCTGTTTACCGCTATATTTCACTTTTTGTTTTTTTTAGTTTTTAATTTTTTTAATTGAGTCATAACTTACACAGAGTAAACTGCACAAATAGTAAGTGTCCAGATGGCGAGTGTTTCATATGTATACACCCATGAAATCACCACCCTAATCAAGATTAAGAGTATCCCAGCATCCAGCAGGCTCCTCTGTACCCTCCAATTACATAACCCCTCCCACACTCCCATCCTGGCCAGGTTAACCACTCCTTTGATCTCCATAGATTAGTTGGTCTGTTTCAAAATTTCATGTAAATGGAATCATACAGTGCATATGTTTTTGTGTGTATATGTGTGTGTGTTTTGTCTGGCTTCCTTTCTTCAACATGTTTTGAGATCCAATCAAATTGCTGTGTATAGCAATAGCTTTTTAAAAATTTTTGTTTAATTGTTGAGTAGTATTTTATTGAATGCATATATTATAATTTATCTGCCCTACTATTGTCAGACATCGAATTGCTTTCAATGTTGGGCTATTAGGAACAAAGCTGCCATGAACACTCTTGTACATGTCTTTGGTGGACATGTCTTTGGGGTGAGAATGAGGTGTGGAATTGGTGGGTCTCTATCTTCTATCCTATGTCATATCCTTCAAAACATCCTGACACATCTCAATCAGAACTTACAATTTGCGGTTAAGTTGGGTGATTATCCGCATGGCACTAAACTTCTTATCTGGGGCATTTCAGGACTCTGTGTCAAGGTCATTTGGGCCTATGCAATTGCAGGCATGAGCAACTTAAAATCATAATCTGAAGGGGCTCTGACCGTTGAAGCTTAGTTAGGAACCATGATAAGTCATTTAAAAATGGTAATCTGAGCCAATAGGAAACATTCTATTTGTCTAAACCATTTAGCTACAGAAGCATTTCTAGAACACATTTTCTCCATTACAATGATCCTAAGAGAATTGCTTTGGCGGTTACTATAAAATGCTCTAACTATTCCTTAATGTGTGATTTATTCGATAACTTACGCTACTGCCAATAGTAATATTGACTGTTTGCTAATCCCAGCCAGTGGAGACTTTCTAACAAGACTGTGTCATGATTTTTCCTTTCTTCAGGAACACATAGGGTTAATAAGCTGTAACCATTAAACAACATTTACCAAATTCTGTGTGACCTTTATCCAAAAGGTAGATTACATTGATGGAGGAAAAATGTAATCCCTGCAGATTCTCTTGCTAAAAACTTCCTGTCTAGAAAGAATACTTGCTTGTGTTTTGTGTTTTTTTTGTTTCGTTTGTTTGTTTGCTTGGTTTTTTGTGTGTCTTGTTTTTCTTCATATGTTTGTGGGAGAATCTGCAAACATTTCCCTCAGTGACCTGCATGAGGTAGGAAAAGCTCAGAGTGTGTCCCCAGAGAGGTACTAAGTGCAGTTAGAACACCTTCCCTGTTTGAGGCAGTGGACCAACCATTTCCCTAGACCTCCCTGAGTCCACTTTTAAGAACTCAAGATGCTCATCACCGTACAGGGGCTGGGACCACCCAAAATAAAATATTCAGCAGAGAGATGGACACATACTGAAAATATCTGAATCTTGCTTTGAGTGTAAATGGGAGACAACCACATCATTTAGACCCCTGCCCCTGAGTGTCCTGAAATGATTCTCTCATTGCAATGAAAAGCACCCCAGGAATAGGAGGCAGCCCCTAATTTTGACTAACTTCTAAAATAACATTAAATTATTTTATTTTGTTCTTACTGTAAGCCTATGAAGCAGATATTATCATCATCCTCAACTTAAAAACAAGGGAACTGGGGCTCTGAGAGGTTGAGTATTTTGACTAGCGCAGCAGTTCTCAACCCGTGGGTCGCGACCCCTTTGGGGGTCGAACGACCCTTTCACAAGGGTCACCTAAGACCATCAGAAAACACATATATAATTACATATTGTTTTTGTGATTAATCACTATGCTTTAATTATATTCAATTTGTAACAATGAAAATACATCCTGCATATCAGATATTTATATTACGATTCATAACAGTAGCAAAATTACAGTTATGAAGTAGCAAGGAAAATAATTTTATGATTGGGGGTCACCACAACATGAGGAACTGTATTAAAGGGTCATGGCATTAGGAAGGTTGAGAACCACTGGACTAGAGTCACACAGCTTCTAAGGAGTGGAATGGGGATTTGAACCCAGGCAGCCCAATTGGCAGAGCCTGACATGGTCTGGGGAAGAGCAAGCTCCAATGCAGATGGCATCCTTTTAAGTTTTATCTGAAAATATCATGCAAGTTCACCTTTACCGCACAGAGAAGATAAAGAAACAAATAAATATGAGGAGAAGGAAATGGAAAATAAAACGCCCACTGGGGTCTGGCTGTTCCTACACTTGAATAGAGATGATTCTGAGTCTGCTACCAAAAATGACCTTGAATTGAAACTCTTGCATAGGAAGCTGCTGTGATGCACTCACAGAGACCACAGCACATCTCTGCAAGGGCTCCAAGCACCATCGTCATGGTTGCTTCCAGTGGGTTGTGGGGAGGGGAGGCTGGTGAAGTGGTTTCCAGTTCCGATGCACTACCTGACTGTCCACACCAAGTCTGGGTTTTCCTCTCTACAGGATGGAGCCCATGGGAGGCGAGATGGGCTTTCCAAGGGGGAGAGTCTTCCATCAGTGGCTTCTCAAGATGTGGAGGCAGAGCTTCAGGTAACATGGACATGGGGAGGGGTTATCTTCAGCAAATACCAATGTCAGGCAGGCCCTCCACTCTTTGACCTCATCTCCTAGTTAGTGTTCTTCCTCTTTTCTCTGCTTCAGCTACACTTCAGCCCTTTTACTGTTCTTAGAACACAACAGGCACGCTGCTGCCTCAGGGCCTTTCCACATGCTCTTTCCTCTGCCTGAAACCCTCCCCCTAGGCACCCCCACCCCACCCCACCCATGCTTTCAAGCTTTTCCTCAAACATGCCCTTCTCCACAAGACCTTCCCTAATTACCTGTTCTAGCCACAATTGCATGCTGAACTCCAACTTCCCCTTCCCAATGCACACACATGCTCCCTCTTCCCTTCCCTGCTTAAGTTTTCTCAGCACACTCCCCTATCTGGTCTACTATACATTTTACAGGCTCTTCTTATTTTTCAAACTGTCTCCCCTAGCTGAAGCTGAGTTCCATGAGGACAGGGATTTATGTGTGCTTGGTTCCCCTCTGTATTCTAGCACATCGAATAGTATGTAGCCAGTACTCAATAACAACATGTTGAATGAATTCATGAGTGAATTAATGAATCCTAGCTCTCCTATTCAGTAACTAGACAACGTTTAGCAAATTAGTTAACATTGTCTGCACTTCATTTCTGCAACTGTAAAACTGGAATGATACTAGTAATTCCTACCCTGCTACTGTGAGTTTTAAAGTTTACAAAAGTATATGCCTAGTACAATACTTGCATATATTCAATGAGACTTTCAAGTTCAATGAAAGTAATACAAATAATAGCAAACATTTGTAGATGTTTCCTATGGGCCAGGCACTGCTTTAAGCACTTTATGTACCTTAATTCATTTAATTCTTGCAACATTTTATAAGGTATGTACTATTATTATCACCATTCTGGTTTGAGAAATAAAGACATAACTTGCCCCAGGCCATATGACTAGAAAATCATTGAGCCTGGGTTTGCACTCAGGCCCATCTTAAGCAAAGTCCAAAACTTAACCACCTCACCACACTGCTTCCCCAACACAGGAAGACATAATTTATATGATACAGGCATAGATGATATCCTTTCAAGTACTGAAAACCTCAATTTACAAATCTTAGTTTTTAAACTCATTAAATGTCTTTATGAATCAAACATGCTAATAATTCATTTTCTAAGTAAATTGGAATATTTAGATAGGGATCAAATTGCATTTAACTCTAGGCTATGAAATATCTTTGGCTATGAAATGTTATCATTGAGAGAATATTCAGAAATTGTGTTTTATTTAGACACAGTCTATTTGAACCAACACATTTACATTTTTAAATAGAGAGCAGTGCTATTTAGTTTCCAAAGTTGAGTGGAAACAAAAACCAAGGCTATGTAGGCACACCCAAAATGGAGCACCTGCTTTTGAACCTGCGTCAAATATTATTAGGTTTTCGTGTGATTTGGCTTCAAACGCTTGTGATTCCTGAGCATCTAGCATATCTGATAACCAGCAGTCATTCATAGTCTATTTTAGGTTTGGTTATTTAAATGCTAGGGTTCACTCATGAGAGAGAGCTCATTGAGGCTGTGCCTTCTTCGTTCATGGTGTTAGTTCAATAAATCATTGAATAGCCAACAGGGAGGCACTCACACACAAACTTTCCAAATTGTCTCTAAAGACTTTCAGTTCCCTTTTTTCTTTTTTTCTTTTCTATTGCCTTCCCAGTGAAGGCTAAGACATTGCCAATTTGCCTTCTTATGATTTCTCTAGAAGGTCGTGTGTGGCCCAGGAGTTCAGTTGGGACCCAAGTTTTAATTTCCCATTGGTTTTAGTCTGGTTCTTTTTCTTGGAAGAAACAGAAAGGCAAGGGATTTTAGCATATTGTATTATGTCACATTATTTTTAAATGATAATGGAATGTTCATGGAAATCTAAGAACAGGAGTCGTATTAAATCTTGGCCTCAAGGAGCCCAGACTTCAAAGGTGATTCTAGATTCAAAAAGGCTCCCAGGACTTCAGCAGCAGGAACTCATGGATCTTTGATTCTATGATTAAATGTAGCATGTTACATGTCTCCTTCTTCTGGACCTAGTACTGACTGATGGCTATGCTTGCTTCAAGTTCGAGGCCCTACATGAAAATCTACTGGTCCAGTTCATTTTTCAGGACAGACTGTACCTCCCCGATGAAGCCCATGGATTGTGTACCATTGGCTCAGATGCCTGGGCCAGGGCCAGTCATCTGTGGACAGAGGAGGTGGGGCACTGGGTACTAAACATGGCTGACGGGGCCTGCCCCTTCAGCAGAAAGTGTGGGCAGGGTGGATCCCCTCCAAAGAGGTTGTGGGTAGGTTGGCGCAGTGTTGACCTTTTCAGATACCATCCTTTAAGAGACTGACGTGTTACCCAAATCACATAGTATAATACCAATGTAAGGTGATGTTATATTGACAAAGATATGGATGCAATTCAGAAAGATATTTACAAAGCCACCTGCAGGCATCTTTGCAATTGGCATGCTTCAAATATAAAACAACTTGCATTATTTCTTTGTGATAGGTTTTATCTAAAAACAGTTATTCTTTTAAGTCCATGTGTTAAAGCTCTGTGGCTTTCTCACTCAGGACCTTAAAGTTTTGGTGAGCAGATTGTACTTAGCACAGTTCTCGCCAAAGTCATTCATAGAGATTTCAACTTGATGATCAAAGTGAAGCTGCATTACTTAGCTATTGAAGTTGCTCAGCTAATTACCGAAGTTTTGTTGTGATTGAGCTGGTCAAAATCCATTGGTTGGTTATAACCCATTGGTTTTAGTCTGGTTCTTTTTCTTGCAAGAAACAGATGTATCCACAATGCCCTGGGCCACAGTTTTAAACACAAGCAGAATGTGTTCAGGACTCTAGAGGTTACTTGTGTCAAATATGATGTCAGTATGATGCCCACGGTACTATGAGGTCTTCTCTGAGGACAGGTCTTCTGCCACCCAGGGACTCTGAAGAATAAGAAACATCAAATGGGGACATTTCAATTGGGATAAGAGTGTTAAGGAACCCAGGTCAAGATCCAGGTCTGGATTCATCACTGCAATGGGTGGGAGGGTTGTGGTGGTGGTGGTTGGGAGTACTGATATAAAGGCATAAGGCATGACAAACTTGGCCTACATTACAGTTCTGGTGAACAAAACTCCCTAGACAAAGACCAAATCCTTACGTTTAAGATCTTAAGATGAGTTGAGTCACTACCCATGGCAGGCATCGGTGATCTGCATGTGTAGAAACTGCCCTCCCTTCTCTTGACTCCCCCACAGGAGCCAGTTCCTCCTGTCACTGATGACCCGTAGCACTAGCTGTGCTTCTCTGTGGCCACGCCACTTTCTACCTGTGTTTACAGTCTCTATCTGATTTTTCTCCACTCTCTGATGGAAATTCCTTTGAAGATGATCAATATCTTATTTATTTTGATGTCCCTGCCATGGCTTGGAACATGATAGGCACCTAATAAATATTTGTTGGATGAATGGGAATAAGAACCTACATTACCTTTCAGTCACCATGTTGTTTCACTGCACTCTCTGCACAGTGATGGTATTTGGCACAGGAAGAATGTCTGAGGTGGGCTCATTGCTGATGGAAGCAAGTTTCAGTGTCAAATTTATTTAAAATTTTCAAATATCTCTAATGTAGGGACTGTGAAACACCAGCAGCATATCTTGTACTATATGGAAGGGACCACAGGCACAGATGATTCTCAGAGGAAGATGGAATACTGAGGAGCAGATCAGGAGAGCTCTTAAGAGTGGAAAAGCTGGAGAAGGAGGAGGAGAGGAGGGTAATAGCTAACATTTACTGACCGTTTACCATGTGCCAGCCCCTATTGTAAGCATTTTACATACATTAACTCATTTAACACAACAACCCTATGGTGAAGGCTCTGTTATCTCATTTTACAGATGACTCTGGTGCAAACAGAGCAGCCTGCCCTGTGGTCATGCAGTCTGACTTGCTGGGCTCTGGGACCCACTTCTCCTCCTTTCCCCTCCCATTCTGTTTGTACCTTATGAATTCAAAACTTTGTTTGATAAATGTTAATTAGTGCTAAATATTAAATATTAATATATGATTTAAGCCCTGGCTGGGTGGCTCAATTGGTTTGCACGTTGTTCCATACACCAAAAGGTCACAGGTTCAATTCCTGGTCAGGGCACATACCTAGGTTGTGGGTTTGATTCCTGGCCAGGGCATGTATGGGAAGCAACCAATTGATGTTTCTCTCTCTCTCTCTTTCCCTTCCTCTCTCTCTCAAAATAAAAAAAAAATCCTCATATCCTCAGGGTGAGGATTATATATATATAGTTTAAGAGTCATTTGTTCAATAATTAATCTATTCACAAAATTTCGTGTGAATTTCATTATTATGTGACAGACACTTCTCCAACAGTGAGTATATTTGCCTTCTTAGCAAGCCTTGAGTGGTGAAAGATGAGGTGATGATCAGTCTTGGTTTCTTCCTGAAGTAAGCCTAGGTCTTTGATATTCCTCAAAATAAAATGTCAGATAGACAAATGTATTTCTGCCTGAGATTAATACTTCTCAGAACATAATGTGGGTGCAATATTTTTCAAAACAAAACAAAACGTTCCTTCACTGGTGTGAGGGTGGAGAGAGATGGAATGAAGGTAGAGTCAGACAGCCCTTCCTGCCACAGCTGTATGTGTGGCTCCTCCAATAACCATGGTGTCTGCTTGGGCGGATCCATTCTTCCAATCATGCCAGACGAAGGAGTTCTCGGCCTTGAATCTGCTCTGACTTCCAGAGACATTACCCTTAAACCTCCAATGTTATTTGGTTAAACACTTCCCACTTCCCAGAAGGGTCCCCACCTGTTTTTATTGGTGATGTTTAGAGTTGGCCAATAGAGAAAGCCTCCTCACTAGAGGCTGGAGGCTGTGTCTAAGAGAAGCAAAGTCAAATGGGACAAAGGTTTTGGTCCTGTAGATAAAACACACACACA